AAATTGAATATAATTAAATATGTAGTTTAAATATAATACTCTTATTTTAATCAAGAAGTGGATTGTAATGATAACTTACGAGGAGAGCCCCATGATGAATCTGCTGTGAAAATAAGCAATAATATAAATATTATTTTTAATTTAATAAAGTGAAATATAGTTTAATGATATACTGCTACCCACATAATAAACAGATATGCAAGTTCACAATCGAAGTATTTGAAATAATGACAATTAAAAAAAACCCACCCCCCCCCCCTTTTTTTTTTTTGTAAATTCAAAAACAGAATGTAATATATGATAATGAAGATTAGTCTGTTTGGAATTAATAAGATTCATATACATAATTATTATATAAAATTAAATAAAGTGAAATATAGTTTAAATAATATGTACTAAATAATATGTACTACTACCCACCAGATAGACAGATCAGCAAGTCAACAATCAGTGGAAGAATTAGAAATAATAAAATAATCATTTAATTTTTTTAAATCCAAAAGTGAATTGTAATATATGGTAACTAACGAGAAATGCCCGATGGAAACCAATTTTTTAACCATTGAGCTTATTCGACTGGTTCATTTCGTTGAATACGAATTTTCGTTGAGTATTGTTTTCATTCGACTGGTTCGTAAAATATACTTCGTTTACCGATTGGTCAGTCAAGCAACAACATTTGCATAATATAATTTAGATTCAATTTCAGAAAATAAAAATTATAATATTTACCCACAATAAGTCAAAAATAATTGTAGGCTAACAGAATTCAAAAACTGGATGAAAACATTTTTTTACGAAAAACCCATACTGCCACAATCCGAAGCAGTCTCGATTACGATGCGTGTATCGCGGTAACTATGCAGCCATTTTGTTTTGTCGAATATTTACCAGTTTTCTATTCGACTGATCGTCTTCGTTAAGTAGGGCAGGTGGGCGTGGTTCAACGAAGAACGACCAGTCGAATACAGCCATTTACAAAGGGTGACCCTTCCAGAGTAATCTAGAAGGTCGACCGAGTTAAAAATTCCATTAAATATATAGTTTAAAGATATTGTTGAAAACCTTATTTAGGTTTAGAATACAGCTATGTTACCTTTATAAAAGATATCGAAAATTATTAGTATTTTAAAAGTTTTGTTCTTTAAAAATTGCTTACCAGCTAAAAGAGGCTTTAGGCCTTGAAGGAAGAAAGAACAACAATAATACGTTGATCAATATTTGATTGAAATGTGTATGTTACCATAAATGTATAATGATAATAATAATAGTAATAATAATAAATAATAATAATAATAAGAAATAATTAATAATTAATAAACAAACAAACAAATAAATAAATTAACAAATATAAAATATAAAAATATGTATGTAATGTAATAAGAATACATTGATTAATATTTGATGTTGAAATAAATGTCAGGTCAATATATTTTAATATAATAATAACAATAATAATAATAATATAAAAATAAATTTTAACTGTAATTTATTTAATTTAGTGCCACCTGATTCCAGAATCCTGTAATTAGAAGGCATAGTTATCTTAAATTATATTAAATTAAATTACACAACTCTATTATTCAATAGTAAGGTCAAACTCTGTTCATACTTACCTCTATATGAATGTGAACTGTATTTTCCTGTGGGTGAAATTAGAAACTTGTTAACCAAACTCAAGTCGTTGAGACAATGTCTTCTTTTATACAATATATGCAACAGTTAATAACCTTCAGTCATTTAAGCTAATTTCTTACTTATTTATATACTTACTTTTTGTCTTAGCTTTTTTGGCTGTGGGAGTATATGAAAATACATTGATTAATATTTAGTTGAAGTGCGTATGCTGCAATAATATTACTAGTAATAATGATAATGATGATAATAATAATACTAATTATTATTAATATTATTATTATTATTACTATTATTACTACTATTATTATACTATTATTATTAGTAGTAGTATAATAATAGTAATAGTAATAATAATAACAATAATAATAACAAAAATAATAATAACAATAATAATAACAATAAATAATAACAAAAATAATAATAACAATAATAATAACAATAACAACAATAATAATAATAATAATAATAATAATAATAATAATAATAATAATAATATTAATAAGCATTTTCAAGAAATTATTAAATTATTTCTCAGAATCCTGAAAATAGAAGGCAAACATCTTAAACACTTCGGTACACAACGCCATTCCAATAGTAAATTCAAATTTACTTACTTGTTTTTTTAGTTGGTTTCACTGTGAAAGTAATGAAAACATTGTTAGTCAAACTCAAATTTTTGATGCATTGTTTTCTTTTATACAAATATTATTTAAAAAAAGTTAGAATCAATCGGTAATTTTGTAGTGATTAATTACATAGGGTAACCGTGTTAGTCTAAATGATAACGTTCATTCATTCATCTTTTACTTCCGAATTTCATGTCCATACAAAAGAATAACAGTTAAACCAATACAAATACAATACAAAAAAAAATATACGAAAAAAAATATACGAAAAAATCGAGCAGAAGAAAATTCGACTCGCCACAACAAAACAAAAGTGAAAAATAGACTGAATCATTAAGACAAACATCAAGATCAGGAAATCATCTTAATGTACGACAATGTTCCACTGTTAATACATTTTAGAATTTGAAAGAGCATAGTGCTTAATGGCTAAAATGATTGAATTAGAGCTGATTTCCACACGGTTCCTGAAAGTATGTATAGAATTTCTAAGATACTCGTCAGTAAATGAAAGACAAACAGCATTTTTTTCAGATTAACAAATTTATTTTTCGACAAGCTTTTCGTGTGACGAAGAACATTGTATACTGTAGTAGACCTCACAATAGCGAGCGGGACAATGATATTAATTGTAGAAATAAGGAATGAAAATAAATTATTTAATACTCTTAAATTTTATTTCCACAGTTAATGAAGGAAATTGGAAATCATTTAGAAGAATTAGAAATAATAAAATAATCATTTAATTTTGTTTAAATTAAAAAGTGAATTGTAATATATGGTAACTAACGAGAAATGCCCGATGGAAACCCATTTTTTAACCATTGAGCTTATTCGACTGGTTCATTTCGTTGAATACGAATTTTCGTTGAGTATTATTTTCATTCGACTGGTTCGTAAAATATACTTCATTGACCGATTGGTCAGTTAAGCAACAACATTTGTGTTAATATAATATAATTTAGATTAAATTTCAGAAAATAAAAATAATATTTACCCACAATAAGTCAAAAATGAATCGTAGGTTAACAGAATTCAAAAACTGGATGAAAACATTTTTTACGAAAAACCCATACTGCCACAATCCGAAGCAGCCTTGATTACGCAGCGTGTATTGCGGTAACTATGCAGCCATTTTGTTTTGTCGAGTATTTACCAGTTTTCTATTCGACTGATCGTCTTCGTTAAGTAGGGCAGGTGGGCGTGGTTCAACGAAGAACGACCAGTCGAATACGGCCATTTACAAAGGGTGACCCTTCCAGAGTAACCTAGAAGGTCGACTGAGTTAAAATTGAAAATCATTAGTATTTTAAAAATTTTGTTCTTTAAAAATTGCTTATCTAAAAGAGGCTTTAGGACTTGAAGGAAGAAAGAACAACAATAGCAATCTTTGGTTGAAATGTGTAAGTTACCATAAATGTATAATGATAATAATTAAAAATAATAATAATAATAATAATAATAATAATAATAATAATAATAATAGTAATAATAATAATAATAATAAATAATAATAATAATAATAATAATAATAATAAATAATTAATAATTAATAAATAAATAAATACAAAATATATAAATATGTATGTAAAGTAATAAGAATACATTGATTAATATTTGATGTTGAGATAAATGTCAGGTCAATATATTTTAATATAATAATAATAATAATAATAATAATAATAATAATAATCAAAATAATAATAATATAAAAATAAATTTTAACTGTAATTTATTTAATTTAGTGCCACCTGATTCCAGAATCCTGTAATTAGAAGGCATAATTATCTTAAATTAAATTAAATTAAATTACACAACTCTATTCAATAGTAAGGTCAAACTCTGTTCATACTTACTACTATATGAATATGAAGGGTATTTTCTTGTGGGTGAAATTAGAAACTTGTTAACCAAACTCAAGTCGTTGAGTCAATATCTTCTTTTATACAATATATGCAACAGTTAATAACCTTCAGTCATTTAAACTAATTTCTTACTTTATTATATACTTAATTTTTGTCTTACCTTTTTTGGCTGTAATAATACAATAATATATATATAATATAGCAATAATATTACTAGTAATAATGATAATGATGATAATAATAGTAGTAATAATAATTATACTAATTATTATTATTATTACTATTATTACTACTATTATTATACTATTATTATTAGTAGTAGTATAATAATAGTAATAGTAATAATAATAACAATAATAATAACAATAATAATAACAATAACAATAATAATAATAATAAGAATAATAATAATAAAAATAATAATAATAATAATATAATATCAATAAGTATTTTCAAGATATTATAAATTATTTCTCAGAATCATGAAAATAGAAGGCAGACATCTTAAACACTTCGGTACACAACGCCATTCCAATAGTAAATTCAAATTTACTTACTTATTTTTTTAGTTGGTTTTACTGTGAAATTAATGAAAACATTGTTAGTCACACTCAAATTTTTGAGGCATTGTTTTCTTTTATACAAATATTATTTAAAAAAAGTTAGAATCAATCGGTAATTTTGTAGTGATTAAATACATAGGGTAACAGTGTTAGTCTAATTGATAACATTCATTCATTCATCTTTTACTTAAGAATTTCATGTCCATACAAAAGAATAACAATTAAACCTATACAAATACAATACAAACAAAAAATATAAAAATATACGAAAAAATCGAGTAGAAGAAAATTCGACTCGCCACAACAAAACAAAAGTGAAAAATATCAAGACAAACATTAAGATCAGGAAATCATCTTAATGTACGACAATGTTCCACTGATAATACATTTTAGAATTGGAAAGAGCATAATGCCTAATGGCTAAAATGATTGAATTAGAGCTGATTTTCACACGGTTCTGAAAGCATGTATAGAATTTCTAAGATACTCGTCAGTAAATGAAAGACAAACAACGTTTTTCAGATTAACAAATTTATTTTTCCACAAGCTTTGTCGTGTGACGAAGAACATTGTATACTGTAGTAGACCTCATAATAGCGAGCGGGACAATGATATTAATTGTAGAAATAAGGAATGAAAATAAATTATTCAATACTCTTAAATTATATTTTATTTCCACAGTTAATGAAGGAAATTGGAAATCATTTAGTTATTTAAATTTAATAATAATAATAATAGTGTATTTTATTGAATCATCTGAAAATGTTAATATTTTAAATCTTTTAAATTATGTCTATTTTAATATTGAACTTCGTAAATTTTTAACTTTGAATGTTTATACTGTATATTTTTTTTAATGTATATTCTGTAAACATTTGGTTGTTGCTTGTGAAGTGCCCACACTCGACAGTGATTAAGTTCACTTTTGGGGTGTCCTGTCTCATGTTGTCTGTGCTTGTTCTTTGCTGTTTCCTTTATTGTCAATTTTAATGTTTTGAGACGAATAAATGAAATTAAATGAAATGTATTAGATTGGTTGAAAAAAAATTTGAAATACATCTTGAAAAAAAAAATTGTAGAACTAGTCTCACAACATATAAGTGAAAATAATTACTTACTTTGAAATTTCATTGGCATTCCCATCGACAAACTCGAAGAAGGTGGAATTCCTCCTACATTAGAATACAGAATGAAAAAGTATTTCTTGCTATGAAAGCGAGTGGGGTGATGGTGATTAGTTTGGAGAAATAAGGAATAACAATAAATTATTCAGTACTCTGAAATTATATATTTTATTTTAACAATTAATTTATTGAAGAAAATTTGAAATGATTTAATTATTTAAATCTAATTATATTAATATTTTTTTCGATTTTGAAATACTATATTGATTGGAAACAAATAACTATATACCTTTCACTGGCTTCACCACCATCGAAAAATACAAAAATATTCCTAGTTATAATAGCGATCGGGGTAACGATAAGTAACTGGAAAATACTGTATGTACTAGCGTATACGACGAGGCTTAAAATAACACATTACGATCGAAAAACAGGGGGTCGTCTTATAGTGCGACATACAAATTTCAGTTTTTTAAATTAATGTTCATCATTAATGTTCATCGTCCGTAATACTCGAATTTAAAATGGTATTATCTTAGGAGATTAGCCCTGCATTTTGACACCGTTTTTAGCCAGCTAGATGCAGTGTCGAGACCATAAAAAGCAGCAAATAGGATGAATTCCAACGGTGAAACGGGGGTCGTCATATGCGTCCTACATTCACATACTTAGGGGTCGGCTTTATATACGGGTCACCTTATACGCGAGATATACGGTAAAGAATCACAATAAATTATTCAATACTCTGGACTTATATAGGCATATTTCATTTCATTTTAACAGTCAATAAAGGATATTAGAAATATTTTTTTTAAATCTAATAATATCAATAGTGTAATAGTTTGTAAGTCTATTTTATAATTACTAGTTTTAAAATATTATTATAATTTTAAATTGAAATGTTATCTACCTGCTCCAACGTCGTCCGCTTGTAACTCTCCGTTCGATGCAATGTATTCTGGTTTATCTTCTTCTGGCTTAACCACAACTAGAGACGTCAGTGGAGTGACTAAGTGATTCTCAAGAGATAGTTCGAGAACCTGTTGTTTCAATTCTTCTTTTTCAGCGCCGCTATTACTGATATCACGACGCTGTAACAGTTCTTTAATCGACAAATACGCCCATAGATGCTTAGCAAAATCATCAATTGCATGTTTATTAAGGAGTGCTTCGGGTGGTTTCTAAAATAACAAACAAAAATAGCAAACCAATAGATAGCCTGTAAGTTACTTATTTACTGATTTTGATTTCAGTATTACTGAAATTAGAAATCATCTAATTACCACAACGCGCGTAAGTTTAGTAAAGTCATTGTCGACCTTTTCTTATATTAAATGCTTGTGGTACATTCCATAATATCTACGTGGTGTATTGCAAGTATTTAATATATTATTACTTCGCCATGCAAACCTTCAAACAAAATGTAGGCCTATTCTTGTTATTAAGTTACCGTAGATGTTCGAATAAGCGCCGAGGCGCTTATAAAATTTTTATCATAGGTCCTAATCATTGTAAATAAAAGTTTATAAATAAATGCTTGTTTATATTGTGTTATTGATTAATTTTAATACTGTATACATTGTATTTAAAACCCTGTAATATTATACTCGATTAAGCGCCGCGGCGCTTATTCGAGAGCGGCGCTTAGCGGAAATAATCAGGTTTAGTGTATCGCTTATTCAAGAGCGGCGCTATATTCGATAGAGGCTCTTATTCGAGCATTTACGGTACTATGATAAATTGTTTTACCTCTGTTTCGACTCTAAGTGGAAATTCTATAGCAACGTCGACGGAATTTGCAGCGATTGTCATTTCAAGAATTTCGTTGGTAATGTTAGTTGGCTTTAGCTTACCGGCTACCACAAGCTCAGTACCTTGGAAATAATTTGGGAAAACAGTCTGCGTTAAGCTGTCTGTCTCTACTAGTTCTTCTGGGTAATCGAAAACGACATCATAAAGAAGCGCTGTTGCAACTTCTTCAAAGAACCCCACCAATTGCAAGTTTGCATTTGAATCGTCGTAAATCTTCCGCGCCAGGCCACTATTTCTCATAGCTAACTTCTCAAGAAATTCGTAATCGACATTCTCACCAAAGCCAAGGTTGAAAAGCGAATACTTGTCGTCTATTTCTCGCTCCACGTCTCTTTCAATTGCTTCGAGGTCGGTTACTCCAGATGTTGGTTGTCCATCGGTCAGCATTATTAACATAGAAATTCCATGCATGCTATCGGTTGCATTTTCCGTAAGTCTGTCTAGGAGTCTGACACCATCTATCAGACTCTCATGTAAATCCGTTCCTGAAAAATAATTTCATCCCAACAGCATCAGTGAAGATATAGTAACGTGTTTTCAATTTCAATGTTTTCAATTACATTAAATGACTAAATTTTAAGTGGTATTCAGAATGGATTGTAAATGCTGAATTCGATCTCAATCCTTACCACCGCCGGCCGCTAGACAAGAAACAAAGTTCTTCGCCTGTCGGACATTTTCGGGAGTTGCTTGTTGAAGTGTATTTTTCCAATGATTTGTGGAAACTGTGAAAGTGACGATATTAAAATAATCTATGTCTCGCAGGTCACCCAGAATAGTGTACATTGCTTCTTTAGTTTGCTGTATCTTTCTTCCACGCATTGACCCGCTGATGTCAATGATAAAGACGACGTTTTTTCGAACTACTGGTAGGCCTTCTGGAGAGAAGTAATGCACAAAGTATCCATTCACAACCTGTAAAGAAACAACTAAAACTATTCTCTGTTACTTGCAATTCTGATATTCTATTTTAAGAAAACACAGAATTTCAAAAGTAAATAGTTAAAACTAACTTGAAGTTCTCCTCCGCTGTTTGGGTGGTTAACGTCATAACGAATAACGAAATCTCCTTTAATGCCATCCTCCGAATCCTGATGCTGTTCTGCAACAGTTGGCGCATATTCAATGAAAGCTCTAGTATTTCTACCTTTTAATATTATCTCGCCAATACCGTGTTTTGTAATCTTCTCTCCATTAGCTTGCTCTTTCCACCAGCTTGTGTTCACTTCTTTCAGACCCTGAGTTTCAATAATTGCCACTTGCAGATGCATACTTTTAACAATCTGTTAAATACAAAAAAGCTAATAGATCAATCAATAATTCAAGATATTGCGACACATTTATGTAGAAGATTATTTTTAAAGAGTTGCATTTTCTTATGTGTGTTTATAAATATGAAGTTCAAAAGTAGAAAAAGCAATTTCTAACCTGACCCGGACGAATACTGGTTATATGCTCAAAATAACCCTTTTTACGCGTTAACATCTCTTGGTATACCAGTTCAAACGTAACGAAGTTTTTCTTGGCCACGGTAACCGACACAGAGAAAATATTTACATCCTCCGACCTGTAATGAAAGTACACATACTACAATAACGGTTGCTGTAGATAGTAACTCCAAATGTTGCTTTGGCTAACTATTAACCAAAGTTATTGCTATTGAATTTTTTGATAACGGAGTAATAAAGTTAAAAAAACAAGGGCTCCTTACTCTTGTTTAACGTGTCCTCCACTACGGCCACTGCTTCTAGCTCTGTTGTAGATCTTCTGAGCCTCTTCTTTTTCTTGGATCTCGGCAGTATAAACAATGCCATCTATTTCCCTATGTTGGTAAAAGGAGATTTTAGAAATAAGGTGATGTAGGCCTATAGACTTATTTCTATGTGCCAATACTGAGATATGATTACTGTTCCTTTAAATGCTACATTACAATAATGCAGGCGTACAAAATGCGTTTCATCATAGAAGTAATTTTCGTTACATGATAGAATGAATTATAAAGAAAAGATAACACATAATACAATAAAGATAGCCATAAACATATAATGTGAAGATACTATAGTGCAGTTTCGACTATATGCAACGATTGTATTTCACCTTTGCCACCAGCATGTAAAATATCACTGTTATATATAAGTACTGCAACATCCATAAAGCCAGACACAATATTAAAATCCAAACAAATTTGAGAAATTGCTTTAATCTCAAACTAAAAGGCAAAGACACTAGAAACACAAGACTGGGAACTCTCACGTAACAAAAGTGAAGCATTTAATTGGGGCGCCACGGCTGGAGATAACAAGCTGACGTTATACACCCACATGCAATTCGGTGATACATGTGCCAACATGACTTCGTCAGGCTATTGAGCTAGCATCAGTTGATTTCGGCATCTGGTGTCAGCTCGATTCCTGTCATGATTGGTTCCGGGGTCCCCTAGCTTTTCAGGCTTGACCAACTCCTTCAACCTGAAAGGCCGGAGGCCCTTTGAACCAATCCTGACGATAAGGAATAAAGCTGGCACCAGAGGGTGTTGTTAACACCCTCTGGTGCCAGCTTTATTCCTTATCCCTCATGGTGCTACTTTTGACATTTGTTTTTCTTTCATATATAATTTTAAATGTATGTTATTTGTTGATTTTGTTTGATATACATGCTTGTGATTCTTGTCTGTCTGTTTGAATCTTTATCTATATTATATTAGTTCATTTTCTCGGCCTTTTTTAGCATTTTAGTTAAACATATTATTTATTAATTGTGTTGCTTTTTATGCCTATTTTTAAGTTTACTTCATTGTCTGTAAAAACGGTAAATTTGAATGCACCGCTATTTTTGTGGTGTATACCACCGATCTCATTATTACATACTACAGGATCTTAAAATTATTCATTCTGATTGTCCGAAATACATCAATTTTAATTCATTTCCATAATTCTATGAATAATTTAACTTAATAAGCAATTTTTCATAGACATGGCGCCACTTTTGACATTTGTTTGTCTTTCAATTTAAATTTTAAATTTATTTTATTTGTTGCTTTTGTTTGATATACAGGTTTGTGATTTTTATTGGCCTGTATAAATTTTTATCAATTACGTTAATTAATTTCCTCGGTTTTGTTTAGCATTAAGTTAAACATTTTATTTCTAAATTGTGTTTCTTTATATGCCTACTTTTACATTTACTTCATTGTAAAAATTGTTAATTTGGATGCACCACTCTTATTGTTATATATTTTACGATCATAGGCGGATATAAATCATCACTCTTGGTTTTACTCATTAACACAGACTAAAAAGTAAATATTATATAAAACATTGATCATATCTTCTACAAAAAAAAAACAAGAAGAAATTGATTGATTTTAGCGTTAAGAAATTAGTATATATGTCTTTTACACACAAAACGGTAAATTAGTACAGTTAGGAACAAATAGTGCATTCAAAAATTGCTTTTGGGAAATCAAACGTTAGTTAATAACATACATTGAGAAGTTAGCAATGAACGCCTCATTTGGAAGTTGAATAATAAAGACAGCTTCCGTTGCTTCATCGGCACGGTTCTTCAATATACTGGTTACTGTGGTACTGGAGAATCGGGAAGTAACAGCGCCTTTAATCTGCAACTTTGTGATCTCTGGTTTTCTCTGTAAGAATAGATTAGAGAATGGATGAAAGCCATGTAACTGACATTATTTGAGTTTGTGTGCCTATGCCTCCTCCTATGTTATGATCTGGCAGTTAAAGATGGCGGAAAAGGTAAATCAGGTGGAGTGTCATCTTAAGTACCTTATTACTGCACAAAACGTCATAAAAAATAACCACAAATTTCCTGATAACCGAATCTCATGTGGATACTTTATTAGTGAACATGTAAGACACTAGTATATAGGGCTTATTTTTAATAGGTGCATATAACCACAGCAACTTCGAACATTGGTATCATATCCGGAAGACTTATTTTCTTTGGCAAAGAAGTATCGACTGTTGCCAGAAAGTTAGCGTAGATCTACCAAGATAATATAATAAGTCTGGTAGTATATTGGTCATGTAATTGAAAGGCAACTCAGCATACACACTGATTTACATTTGACCTAGGTTGGAAGAAATTGCTGTATATTCGCACTGCTTTTAAAAGGACACATATTATAATATTAATAAAGTTCTTAACCGTTCTGAATCAACAGAACAAGTGGCAGTCATTTATTCATAATTTTATCCCTCGAAAGTTAGTAAGAGTCTGGTAGGCAGAAATGAAACAAGTCCCTGTAAAGAAAACTACCAGATGACGTTGACAGTGTGATATAGACACAACTGACGCCATTTTCTCCACTGACAAATTGATCCCAATTTCTAATTATTAAGAAATTGTATCTTAATTTTTCTTTGTAAATGTTAATTGATGATTAAATATGTGTTTGATAAGTAATGCGAGCTTTTTTTAGTAAATTTCGATGGTAAATTATTAGGCTTTAAAATGCCTATTCCAGAAAGCCTATTCAACAATTAAGAATATCAGGGAACAGTGTAATTTCACTGTTTCCTGAGAATATCAAGTTATTTAGGCGTAATGAACGGTAACCAACGTCCAGAGGGTGCCTCCTGGTGTTGTGACACACGACTGTGGTACTCTATACAGATCATTTCTCCAATACAGTACCGCGAAATTAAAAATCATAAAAAAAATAAGCGCCCTGTAATGTATTTAGCGTACGTCGAAATAGTTGATTGTCCTAGTTATTCTGAATCTAAAAAACTAATATATTGTTTCAACCAATGTTCATAACAATAATTACCTGAGAGACATTCAATAGACCTATAGTACTCACCAGTGTCCTAAGCTCGTAACCATCTCCAGAACCAATGTCCCGTTCACCTCTCTAAAAAATAATTGGAAAACTTAAAGTGTTTATATCCACCTCAAATTTCCTTCGATCGAGTCAGAAGCATGTCAAAGACAAGATAAACATTTATTATATATATATGTATATGTGTGTGTGTGTGTTGCTTTCCTTACCAATTAACAAATGTTTTCATCTATAGTGTATCTATCTCAGAAAAATTACTCATTTTACAGTTAAATGAGATTTAAACCTATTTTTTTTTTATTTCAGTATTTCAACAAAGGTTATTTAATTCAATAACATTTGGTTAATTCTGTACGTTTTATTCAATCATTCAATCATCGGGGCTTCTGAACCCTAAATCCAGAAGCCCAACCTCAGTAAATGTTAACTACACGCATGACTATAGTGAAAAATACCTGAACTTGTGCCAAATAATAATGTTGGAATATTTCTGTTTTATATAATCTAAAAGAATGTTGATCGAACTAAACGGGACTCAATAATCTGCAGAGAATATATATGATCTGCTTTAGCATTTAGCTATCAGTTCTAGAACTAAACAAGCGAAGACCTATAGACTGTAGCTTCATTTTCTGAGAGTAGGTTAGGTTTAGTCAAATGAAAGTCAATTTTACCTCCAAAGCCAAGTCTTCTTCATCGACGTGAGTATATTGTTCAATATCTGCCAAGGGAGCTACGACGGCCAAAGGAGTAGCAAGCGACGGCTTCATAGCAAACCACGTGACGAGACTCGATAACACCAACAAAGAAAATCTGCCCATCATTTTCCTAGAGATTTAAAACTTCGCTACATATTGGTGGTTCATCCTTAAGCGCTGCTTTTATTTTTATAGAATTATTATTCAATACTTTCAATTTATGCTTTCATAAAATTTCCTTGATTGTCTAAGTGTAATGAGAATGTACCGGACTCGATAAAAATTGTAGCCGAACAAAATAAAATAAAATAACTATAGTTTAGAAAAATGTGTGTAATTTACGTGTGAATTAAGATGAGTTTACGCTGAGACTGACTTATACGAAATGTATTTAAAACAAACACAATAAATAAAAACGTATACCCTATAATTCTCACTGCAAAATATTAAATTAGGCGCGTAAGAAAAAATTGACTTATAAGGTGCATTTTATATTATGTATCTATGCGTCAATACAAGGAAGTGCTTGGAAAAAAGGAAATAATGAGAGAAAACGGTCTACCAAGGGAAAATGTCAAAAAAAAAAAAAACCAGAAAGAGAGAACAGAAAAACTAAAAACAAGATAAGCAAAGATAAAAAGTGAACATTAAAGGGAACGAAACGATAGTGAACTTCATATTGTGGTTACGTTTGCAGCATGCTAATATGAACTACGCTTTGTACCGTATGTTGCAAGTGATTATCCTCAGAGAAAATGAAAAGTAACTATTTAGTTTCAACGCATGCATGATTCTTCCATACATATACTATGCAATAGTAAATATACTTGCAATTGCGCAACACACGTTTCAATATAGACAATAATAGACCCCTTTTTCGCGAACTCAAATTTGACATGTATATTATAGCCAACATTATTCAACAATTTGGTGATGTCTCTCAAACGCATCCTCGACGCTGCTTATGTGCGAATGAAAAACGAACGTGCAATTATCGCGGTTACGTTTGTAGCGTCATGATAACAATCTTAAGTACTGCGCAGCCTTAAGGGCTGGTTATTCTTCAACCATTTCAAAATCTAAAAAGCAATTGTTCATAATAGAAAACAAAACAAATAAGAGGAATTTTTACACTAGAACAATTCGATAACAATGTATCATGTATGATAGCAAAATATTTTAACAAATCAAATCAGATGTAGTCATAATCATGGAAAAACGATAAAATCGCTGCTACTACTACTACGAATTTAATGTTTTTCCATGATTATGATGTCATCTGATTTGATTTGTCAAAATATTTGTTATCGCATAACTGATAAATCGTTATCGAATCGTTCTAGTGTAAAAACTTCTCTTATTTCTTTTATTTTCTATATAAACAATTGCTTTTTAGCTTTTTATCGTTATCGTTATCGTTGAAGTATAAACAAGCCTTAACTTTGTAGCCGTTATGTTTCTTGTTGCGTCATAATGAGTTTAAATCTATATGAACAAATCTATGAACCAAGCGAACTGTTATTTATTTAACTTACCTTGTTCTGTGGCTGCTCGTCGCAAAACTTGTACAGCATTTGCACGAAGTAAATCTTGCTCGGTAATCAAAATGTTCTCTTATATTTTCTTTTTTTTTTATAGGCGGTGAATTTCCGGAGTCAAACCGCATTAACATTAAGTTTTGTCAGCGAACCAATTGAAGTTCTTAATGTGTGTATACATCTGTATTCTATTACATAGGTCTATAGCGGACTTGAAACATGACCGGTTCCGTTGTACTTTTAATGCCTAAGGCCTAACATAATAATAATAGTATTGATGCAAATAGAGCATATGAATCACATTAACTTAGGAATATTTGGCCGCTAGTAACTAATTTAAAACAATGCATAACGAAAACTTGCATTTTGCACTTTAACCTCTTCACCAACTTTCCAAAGTATATACGGTACTTGTTACGCGTCAAATTTCAAGTGATTACGCAGAAGCATGCATGTGTTGTGTTTAATAATTCTAATGCAAGCTAAGTTTACTACTTGTATTTGAGGTCTTCTTTGTTTCTTTCTATACTCTCCGTCTCATTTGTTCTCAGTATAGTCCTATCTATTAAAAATGCATCAACAATGTAATTTAACTCGTTCATAGTATCCACACGTTCACAGACTGGTAGCAACAACTGCTAGTTAACATACTCAGTGCAAATGTCGATTTGTTCGACTCACATTAAAGAAAGTTTTAGGCAGTGGCAATTTTTACGTCAATCACAATCCTTTTCCTTCTGCAGGCTACTGTTACATTATTCAGTTACTAATGTGCGTAACCGTTTTTTTGGGAATATATTTTTATAGAGTAAAACACAACGATTTCACACCGTGACGATTCGGAATGGTCGAGTGACCTTAATATAAATATAAAATGCGTGTTAACTATATATTAATGAAGTCAAAATTTAAGTTTAAGAAATCATTACTTATACTTTTGGAAAAGCAGAGAATTATTCTTTGTAAGTGGTGAAATCACATAAATTGCCGGTGAATAAGAGATACTTAAATATTAAGCACGACACCAAGTACTCTGTACGACCAGAAGAAATTTGGAAATGAATTCCACTGTGTATTTGCCTGTCCTGCAATATACACTGAACGTCAAGCGAGATTTTTTTTATACCTTTGTTTAGCGAACCCGCTGTCCGCTAATAATGATGATTTAGAATAAAAGTAAAATTTTATTTTTGGCAAATTTGTGCACCCACCGGCATGAAAAAATGGAAATTTCAGAAAAAAATTAAAGTTTTTCTTTATTTTTATTACCCCCACCGCTGCATTGGAATCTCCAAAAATAAGATAGGCCCATTTATATTTTCTCCTAATTATATAAATTGAAAGCATTTAAATATTCACCAATAAAATATTTTTATTTTCCCTTCCGTCGGTATGTTTTTGGCAAAACTATTTGCTAAATAAGAAAACAAAATTTTAATTTGTGTTCGCCCTCCTCTGACGATCTTTAAAAAAATAAGTTCGCGAAAAAAGGTATAAAAAAGTCTGGCTTAAATGTCTGGCTTTTTACTGTAAAGCTGTTTTTTTTTTACTTTGATTTGAATTTTATATTTCTGGGATGTTCTTCCTTTTTTTTACTATTTTGTTAAACTCCCTGATTTTTCTGTTTACCTTTGCGTTTCCTTTTTTACTTTTGTTCAATTTTACTGTATTGTTTTGTTTTTTTTATTAGTTAGTCTGGACGCAGCAATGAATAGTGTGTGCCACTGTTGTAAAAGTGTGTGCCAATAAAAACTGAAACTGACACCTGAAAAAGTATTATTACATCAGGCCTAATACATTTTGTCATTGTCATAGCACGAGAACACGTCAATGAATAGGAAATGACTTCGTTCGTTTGACATTAGGATACTTTTAAACAATAACATCTTCGAGGAAGTAGACACACTAGATCATAAAACCTCATAAATATAGACCCATTAACCTATATAAAATATATTAGTTATGAAAGAAAAGAGAACGATTTCCTTAGTATGTCACTAAGGTACAGAGATCGAAAAGGAAGCAAAAATCTACTACACCCTGAGAGCTCCTGATAAATACAGACCCATTAAATACCGCATAAATAATTAGGTCTATATAACGCTTTTGTTACTTTAAATTACTGTATATTGTGCTGGTTCGGTCTAATATCGAGTTTATAGTTTCTCTGTGGTTTCAAATCTACAGGCCAGAATTCGAGGGATGGGGTGTGGGAAAAGCATTTTCTCAAACACTGGCGGGACTAGGATTTCCTCAACGACAGGACAATTCCCCCGACGGGCAGAATAAAAGTTGTACTTTGGCGCGTAGCGCTACCCGAAAGCCGTAGGCCCGAGTCGAGGGATGGTTTGGGAGGGGGATGTCGCACTGAAATAAGAAAATGTTAAAAAAAAATAATAAAGCCGCTAGACGATCATACAGGGCATCTTGACCTAAAAAAGTTGTTTTTAACATTATTTTTTTAAACCCCAGACGAATCTGTCCGAACTTCTACGACGGGGGATGGTGATGTGGGGAGGGCGCTATATCCCCTATCCCTACCTCCCTAGCGCCGTCACTGGTCCCAAACAACTCGGAAAAAGTTGCCATAGTAATGAAAATTCCAAGCTGTGATCCAACCGGCTCTTCCACTTAGCACCAGTTAGTCCATTTTTGCACACTCCCGCACCCTTTCAATGGAAATCTGTGTCCCGACATTACTGCAAATAAGACATATCTAAAAACCATATGTTTTGACGTGTAAACAGTTGATGTGGGATGAAATTGGCAAACCTTGAAGAAACTAAGGATTTGTTGCAGCTTGGTTTGCGTTAAATCTCTTGCGTTTGCGTTTAAAATTGTAATATTTTTTTAGTTATGCGTGCCTGTAGAAAATTAGGGTAGAAACAAGATTTAGATACGTATTAAAATAATTAAAAAGGGGCTAAATTCATTTCAAGACACATACTAATGCTGTAACATATTCCTATTTTATTCAATATAAAAACTTAGCTGCACAAAAGTGAATGATGTTTAGAATTACTTTCTTATAAAACATAGGAAATTGTTAAAAATGAAGAAAACATTAAAGCGCATCACATGTAACCGAAAGAAGCCAGTTACACTTTGGTGCAGCTAGTATAATCCTCGTATAACTTATATATATATATATAAAC